CGACTAAAATGTGTTTCTATCCCCGAGATAGGGAAGCTGCAGGAGATCCATTTGCCAAACTGGAGTGGCCCTGCAGGCAGTCCAGAGTCTGGGAGCCATGCAGTTTTCCCCGGACTATGCTTTGAACAGGTGGGACAAGCAAGGTAAGCACTTTCTGTGGCCCTGTTACCTTTCCCCCACCAATATTGGTTCGTGAATGCTGTCACTCTGTCAGGAGACCAATGGTTTAAAGCAAGTACAGTGGTAAGTACTGGGAATTCTGGAACTTCTGTGGGCAGATTGTTATTTGGTCCAAACGAGAGTTCTCTCTTTTTATCAAACCAACAATTATTAGATTTCCAATACTGTTTTTCCTTTTCAGGGGCCAATTTTTGGGGTCTCTGGTCAATTTTTCCAAATATCATTTGGGAGAACATCCCTTTGGACCTGACAGAGGTCTGGCTATTGGCCTCCTTGAGAGCAGCATTTGGGGCAGAAATGTCAGTGAGGTGATTTCCTTTGGCCTCCAGGGAGTCGCATCTGGAATACCCAGGAAACTTGGTAATGGCCTGAGCAGCCACAACAGTGTGACATGTAATAAATTTTGAACACAGGAGCCATTTTTCATTTTATCTTCATCAGAGGTAAACCTCGCTGTTTCCGTAATATTCCAAAGTCATGAGCTACTGGAAGATGTACCAGCCATCTGTATAAATGTCTGCGGTTTTCCCTTTGGCCAGAATACAAGGATGGTTAGAGGGGAGCCCGTGACTGTTTCTGCAGGGGCCTTAACTAAGAGGGCAGGGGCAGGAATGGCTGTGAGGCAAGGGGGATATACCTGAGCCATATTCAGGGTCTGGTTGTTGGCTGTAATGCCCTACTGGCTGATGATGGTCCCCGGTGGGGTGAGCGCTCCAAGGGCATTCCCTTCCCTCTCACAGACAAAGAGGAGAAAGGGAAGTTGATAGTTAAGATGTCCAAAGGCAGGGGCCTTATTAGGCTTTTCCTTAAAGTCCCAAAAGCTCTGTCATCCTGATCTTTCCAAATAATAGGGTCAGGTTTGTTGATTTTCAGTAAAGCATATAGAGGTTGAGCCGTAAGAGAGAGTTTGGGACCCAATTTCAACAGTAGTCAGCTAGTCCAAGAAAACCTCGTCATTGGTGCTTAGTTTTAGGTTTAGGGATGTTCGGGATGCCTTGAAGTCTCCCTGGATCCAAATCTAGTCCTGGTTCCGAGATCAGGGGCCCTAAGTATGGAACCTGAGTTTGAACAACCTGCAATTTTTCTTTGGAGATTTTATGTCCCTTTAAGGGCAAAAGTTTTAACAGATGAACATTACCTTCCTGTGAAGAGGTCTGAGAAGAGGAGCAGAAGAGCAGATGATCCACATATTGGAACAAAGTAGAGCCTGCAGGAAAGCTTCTGTCGTCTGAATCCTCTTTTAAGGTTTGTGAAAAGTAAGGACTCTCTGTGTATGTAACTTCCGAATTCATGGGGAGGGAGGATGGAATTTTGAGGAAAAGTTGGACAATAGAAAGGAAGGCAGAAAAAGGGAAGGAGGGGGAACGTTAGAGTCAGCCGGAAGCACAAAATGCAACAGCAGAAACAAATCTAAATATGTCACTAGGTGGCCTGAAGACACAAAGTGGAGTTGTACGTTGTTTAGAGAAATGCCTGCAGCACACAGAAGAAAAAGTGAAGGGATGGGCAAGCACACCCAACAAAGCTGGCCCCACCATTCTTAATCAGCCACGATAGCGATTCTAAGGCCAAAAATATTGGGAACAGGTAAAAGTCCAAATTACCAGGAATATAAAACAATTTTAGAAGGTATGTGCACAATAGTACATAAAATCTCAAAAAATATAAAGCAGAAACTCATAGAAATCCAAGGAGAAACTTAAAAAATCTATGATCATAGTAAGATGTTTCTCAGTGATTTACCAATTAAGTAACAGAAACTGGTAAATATCTCTGTATAAACATATATAGAACATTGCATCCTTAAGTTAGAAAATGCACATTATTTCCCAGACACTGGCCATATCCTGGACCATACAGCTAGTTTCAACAAATTTCGAAGAACTGGTATCCATCTAGACTACACACTCTCTGACCATAACTCAGTTAAAAGAGAAAACAGGAATAAAAGAAGATAGCATTAAGAAAACAATGCCCACAGGCTTAGAAACTAATCAGTCAACAATTCTAAGTAACTCATGGATTAAAGGAGAAATCATGATAGAAGTTGGGAAATACTAATGCTGAATCCCATTGTATGCTAAAGCTAGCGTTGGTGGTATAGTGGTGAGCATAGCTGCCTTCCATTGTATGCTAGAGCCACAAACTAAAAACTAAAAGCACCACATGGGTGTAAATATCCAACAAAAGAATGTATTCTCCCAAAAAAAAAAAAAACAGAAAGCAAAATATAAGAAAAATAATAGCAGAAATGGATTGGAAAGGAAACAAAATGTACCTAAAGGGGCCCCCCAAAAGTCTAAAATTGGTTCTTTAAGGGAGAACCAAGGGATAAATACAACCAAGCAGCCAACCTCCGGCACGACTGTTCACCAAGGAGAGGTAAGGTACTGTACTCTTGCCATATAGGGGTCGAGAAGGAGGCAAAAAGAAAGTTACAACAGACTCTTCAGTCATCATGCGATAGTTAACAGAGTGCTCACCGTGCAGCAGGTGCTGCTCCAGATGCTTTGTGAAGGATGTGGCACAGCCCCTTACCATTATCCTCAGATTTCAAGTGAGGAAACGAAGCACAGGTCAGTGACTCACCACAAGTCCAACACCGTCTCAGTGTTACAGTCGATTGAACGCTGGACCCATCAGTCTCTCCACACACGCTCAGCCACCACAGGGTCAAAATCACTGTAAGAAAAGCACGTGAGATCAGAGATACTGTGCTTGCCATCTTTCAGAAATAAAATGTGTCCTCGATAGGAAACCAGAAGACAGAAATCAACTATGGAAGCTGGAAAAATCGAGAGTAATAACTGATTATTGATTATTGGTTTGACTCTTGGTTTCAGTTCAGGTCATCTCATGGCTTGTGAGATCAAGCCTGAAGTCCTACGCAGAGGAAGAGGGACTGCCGGGCAGTGCTCACTGCTGTGAGGCCGCAGATAAGGGAGACCCCCAGAAGTGAAATGCGTTTGGGGGACTGTGACACGTTTGCAGGGCCTGAAGGGGGAACGCTCCCTTGGTCTTGATGTTCGGGCCGCTGAACCCAAAGAGAGCATTTCTTAGCAAACGTCTGCCCCTCTCTGCCCCGGGCACTCGGAGCTCGGATGGACAGGTTCTACTCCTGGGTCTCCACTCCTGCTTGACCACCCCCAACATGGGCCAGACCTGGACCAGGACCAGGAGCATTTCAGAAGTTTCAGTGATTCATCTGAACGGTGCTGGTGTGCCTTCAAAGGCATTTATAATTAGCTGGAGAGATTTAATAAAAAGGACAAGGAAGGAGGTTGACTCTGGCTAATTATCTGCTTCTTTCCTGTAAGGTAGAGGATTTAATTAGCTGAATGGTTCTCACCCAGATGCTGGAAACAAGACTATGTGTCTGTCGTTAAATATTCATTTAGGACATTGTTTGAAATGAGTGCATAATAGTTCATGTTCTAGAAGATCCCTATAGCCATTCTACATTCCTTAAATTTGGTAAATTTCTCCCAGTTTTTACTATTATAAACGAAACTCTTATGCATATCCTTAAGTATTGCACTGTGTGATGAATATTTTCATTTTCAATCCAACATAATAGGTAAAAAAATGGCATGGCACTATTTTAAGTTGCCTTGCTTTTTAAATTTTAGAATGATGACTTTTAAAATGTTTATTGCCCATTTCATTGTACTTTCATTTTGGGAGGTGTTATTCTTTTTTTTTTTTTTAAGATTTTATTTGCCAGACGCGCATGAACGGGGGAGGGGCAGAAGGAGGGGGAGAAACAGACTCTACGCTGAGCAGGAGCCTGATGCTGGGCTCGATCCCAGGACCCTGAGATCATGACCCCAGTTGAAGGCAGACGTTTAACTGACTGAGCCACCCAGGCGTCCCTGAGAGGTGCTATTCATCATTATCTTAATTTATTAGTTTCTCTGCTATTATAAAAGCTCATTTTGCCCCGTTTGTCATTTGCCTGGTGAGTTTTGTCGGCAGTAACTCACTCTCCCCAACTAATAGCAGAGCCACCTCTTTTCTCTTATGTGTTTAGGTTTATGCTCGGACCGTTGTCTTAGCCCAAATGAGCACTCCAGTGCTGCCCTGTAATTAAGGAAACTAGGTTGTAAGAGAAGAAATACTGTCCAGACCCTACACCTAGAAAGAGTTGGGGGCGGACCTGAACCCCGATCCCACCTCGGGCTCTTCCCCCTGCTCCTCAGACTTTCTCTGGTCAGCTGCCTGGTGGATGGGCACATGCAGCTGGGGACAGGGAGGCTGGCCACTGACCCGAGAGGACCTGGGGCCTCGGTGAGCTTAGCTCCCCGTTGTATATCCCAGAGCATTTCCTACCAAATACCAGTCCTCTAAATCCTGTGAAGACAAATTTCTTGCTAATAGAAGACAGAGACAGCTCCTTTGGATTCTTTTGCAGCGACAGGAAGCTTGGAGATGCCAGGGTCTCACTTCAGAGAAAGAACATCGCTCACTGAGTGTCTCAGCGCAGGCGGATCCTTGGCCCGGGATTACCCTGGGTGCTTAATAAATGGTTGGCAGGTGTCTTCTCTCTCTCACTCACTCTCTAGTCCCTACCTTGACCTGGCACATAGTAAGGGCCACTGATAGTTATTGATCCTTTCCAATGTGGACTCACACCTTGTAAGGTGTTTAGAGACACAAAGAAGGGGAATCAGAGAGAACCCCACCCTCAGGTCGGCAGTCAGCCAAGCCCTCACCCTGTTGCATCTTAACAGGACAGCCGCCAGGTCCCCTGCCACGCAGCTCTGCTCCTGTCGCTTCTGGCCCCGGCCCTGGGAAATCCACAACAGCCTTCATAAACAGATACACGGGGCAGGTCCCTGACAAGGACCGCTTCGCACCTGGCAGCCAGGGGCCCTGCCTGCACACCCCTTCAGCTGGCACTGTCACCTGGGACAGGAGAATGTGGGGTGGGGAGCCCTGGGACTGTAGGCTAGCAAGATGTGTACTGATCCACACACCTGAGTGGACTTCGATCGAGACGGACGGTGCCAACAGAGGGGGACAAGCAGGTGGACCTGGTGACCAAGAGACCGCTGCACCATCATTCACGAAAGTCCTGGCAGTTTGTGAATGTGTCCACCTTCCTCTCATTTCCCAGAATGGCAAGGCAGCTGGGAAGTAAAGTGTGTGACCATCAGCGGGCGCTCGGCTCCTGGCATTCCCGAGGACCGCAGGGCAATGGGTCTCCAGTGTCCATCTCTGACTTGCAACTGGTCCCTGCCTGGAAGGTGGGTAAAGCTAATGTTTACTTCTCTGTGACCTCAAAGGAGTGATTCCCTGTGACTGAGAGGGGTCTTTGTGATTTCCCCAACCTTGAGACCACCGCCAGTGGTCATCATGTGCTCTGGCTCACTCCCCACCCTCCCTCCCTCTCCCCTGCTTCTCGGTACAGGTGGGTGTTGGGAGGGCCTCAGCTCTGCTCTGGACTGGAGAGAAGGGGTGCGTGTAATCCCTCCCAGCTCCTCCCTCCACTCACACCCATCCCTTTCGTGTCACACAGTCTGCAGCCTCCAGAAAGAAGCCACACTTGGCTGGACATGGGGAGAGGCGGGGAGAACAGGTGAGGGACCCCACCTGTGAAGGCCAGGCAGAAGGAAGCAGCACCGAGCACACAGAGAAGAGCGACGATCTGTTCCAGGTGTGTAGAAATAGCCAGAGTCTGAGTCCTCATGCTTTATTGTCAGATGCACGTCTACAAGGCAGCCCCCACCCTGACCCCAAGCCCCTTCGAAGAGTTTATAGGACATTGTAAGTGCTCCACGTTTACCAATTAATAGAAGGCAGGGCAGAGGGGTTTTTAAAAAATCCCTTTTTCTCCCATGTAAGGAAATCCCCTTGGGTCCTCTGCCTGCCTATTCCTCTGCACTTGATGACAGACCCCGCCCCCTGAGAGCCAGTCTGGGGCACCTCTCCGTGGCAAAGGACACAAACCTTTGCACTCCTTTTTAATTTTGCGTAGTTTTAAGTGTACAGAGGAACCATAGCTGATTTACTCTCTCTCCTATCCACTCGAGCTTACTTAAGTCATTTCAACGTTTTGCTCTGGGAGAATCTTCATGGGCTGCCCCACAGGTGTGGGGGCGAGGGCTGGGGTGCTCTGGGACTCCGGGGCCCCCCGCCAGCATCCTGTCTCCGAGGGAGGTGGGGAAACTGCTCCCAGAGGAACTGCAAGTTCCTCTGCTGGTGAGGGCTGCGGCCAGTGCTCCTGGGGTGGGGGGGACGGTGGTGGCTGCTCCCAGGCCCCCAGGCACTGGGATAGCGGCTGCCGGGGTGCTGTCTCTGGCTGCCAGCCCCACCACAGCTGTTCAGAGGGAGGAGGCTGCTCCCACCCCGGCAGGGCGCAGTCCCCGTAGGACAGGAGCTGTCCTAGGTCCCCCTGCTCAGCTCCACTGCGGCCAGCTTCCTGCTGGAAGAGGGGCTGTAGAGGAGGTGGAAGTGGACACGGAGCTTTGGAGCTGAAGGTCAAGGGGGAGTAATAGAAATCTCCAGAAGGTTTGCCCAGTGCGCTGACTGGAGTCTCCAGGTCAGGCAAGGCCACATTCACGTTCAGGACATCAGCATGCCCGGAGGGAAGGGCTGGAGCAGAAGCACCCCCTGACTCCCCGGAGAAGTGGCCAGCATGGCTCGGGGCCCCCACGAAGTTTCGCTGACATGGGCAGTCTGGGGCGCAGCTGCCATGCTGAACGGGCTCTGGAACCTGGGCGTCTGCCTCCACGCCTGGCCTCCTCTGGGTGCGCTTTGGGATTCGGGCTCTCCGGTTCTGAAACCAGACCTAGAGGGGCAAGGATGGCACGAGAAGGGGAGAGAGAGAGAAGAGACACTTTCGAATGAAGCCCAGTCCGATAGTTATCACCAAGTAGCTGAGGTTAAGCCGTTATCAAATGAAAACTTCTCGAGTTTAGAATAAAAGCAAAATCCTTGGCTCGGCTGATCCAAACCATTCACGGCCTGGCCCAGCCTGCCTTCCCAGCAAATGTCCCCGAAGCGCCCACCTTGTACCCACGTGTTTGTGGGTGTGTGTGCACACACCGTCATACACTCACGGTGAAACACCGCGCTCTCCCGTTACGTTAGAGTAGGCAGTTACTCGGCTTTAACACGATGGCTGGAGGTCAGCAAAGGGGGAGTCATGGCCCTTCAGCCGGTGAGAATTAGGGACCTATCCTGGCAGGCACAGGACAGACCGGCCCCAGACAAAGGCCGGAGACCCCGTCCCAGTAAGGGAGAAAAGATGCGAAAACCTGCTACCCCCAAAGTCCCCTCCCCATGTAATAAAGATTCCCCTCCCTAGTGAACAACTGTCAATGAAAGACAGAGACCCAAACCGAGTGCGCGGCTCTCCTTGAGCTCGCCCGCGCTGGCTCTAATACATACTCTTTCCTTTTTGCACCACTCAGCCTCTGCGTCTGGTGCGTCCTTGCATTCTTTCTTGGGACGAGCCCAGAGCCTCCGGTGACGTCCCGGGGACAGGCTGAGTGGAGGCTTCAGGGCCCGGGGGGTCTCCCCAGTCCAGCGGGCCACACTGGCACTCTGGCTCCTGCCACCTTCTCTACTTACCACCCGCAGCTGATCCTCTATTATCTGATGACCTTTCAAAATAAGCCTCCCCCACGGGTAGGGGACATGCGGGGTGCTGGGCTGAAGGTACACACTTCCAGTCTCAAGATTCACACGTTCTCAGGGAGAGCATGGTGACTATAGCTAATAATTCTGTCTCATATACTTGAACGTCACTGAGAGAGTTGATCCTAAATGTTCTCCGCACAAAGAGATGGTAACCAGTACCTTCAGATAGAATTTTTTAAACCTCTGAGGACCTTTGCCCTCTTTTTCACACGTACGTTCACTATTCGTTAAACAGGTATTCAAAATAATGAAATGTTTTTTAAATGTACTGGAAAACAGTGAGGGGCTGAACACGCAAACAGACGGGCCAAAGCACCTACGGCCATGGAGCCCTGACCCACAGCCTCTGCAGCTTCGATAGTCGGGACCCCGTCACCTGCTCTAAGCTCAGAGCCAGCAGCCAAATCTGCTCCCCGGACCAGTACACAGTTGAACCCAGTGATGGGCCTGCACCCTGCCACATCCCTCCAGCCGCCTGGGTGGTCTCCTTTCCACCAAACAGGGAATAAGTCGGACACCTCTCTGATTAAAGCCCTTTCTGCCAAAAATCGCCCTGTCCACATGCATCTCCCCCCACCCCCTCCCCGTGTAGCTTGAGAGGTGGTTCCGGTGCCTGCAGGGGCACCCCCCCCCCCCGCCCATGGGCTCCCAGTGGAGCTCAGCCAGGCCTCCCTTCGCTCTTCCAGAACATAACAGTGACCTCCTTAGAGGCCCAGGCACCAAGCAAGGCCTGACGATCCCACAGAACAATGGGACACAAAGAGGCAAACAACTCCCAGCATTTTCTCTGCTTAGGAAAAAAAAAAAATCCAGACAAACTGCAAGATAAAAGGCGGGCCATTCCCAGAACTCCAACCCTGTACCCTCCCCGCACACACCCGGGCCCCGGGCTAGGCCCAGGTGCTGGTCCTGCCTGTGAGAGCCAAGCTAGCCTTCCTCCCCGAGCCTCTGCAAATGCTCATCAGACCTTCAGCCCACACACTCGGCCCCAAGGACTCACACTGGCAGCAGGGGAAGGCAGCCTGAACCAACGTCAGGGTTTTCTTCCTGGCTCCAGGAGCTCCTTGGGCTCGAAACCAGAACCCACCCACCCCACCCCAAGTACTGAACTTCTGTGGCCAATTCTCCTATCTGTGAAAGGTCATGAGGTCGCACCTGGCACGTGGGGTTGTTTGGGCTTCGAGGAGACCATGACTGGCAAGCCCTTGGGAATGTGCTCGAGTCCTGAAGGGCTGCCTGCCCGTCTGTGAGTGAGGTTCCAGGCCGGCTGATAAAAGGCCTCTACATCAAACCATTTAGAGGCCTCTAAATCAAATGTCACAGGCTTAGGCCTTTCACTAAGCTTTTCTGTGTCCTGGTTCTCTTTGTAGGGTTTGGAACAGCAGGGGGGCTTCTAGGACAGATACGGGAGTTCATTTAGAAAAATTTGGTTCAGGTTACGTTTCTAAAAATAGGAAGCCTCAGGGCCCTCACCACCCGGGCTTATCAGCCCGTGTAGGGTGTTTCTGGTAACCATCTCCCCTCTGGGCTATGGTTTGTTTAATTATCCTGCAGATTTTTTTTTTACATTAGCAAACCCTCAAGGGATGTTCATTCCAAGGCAGCAGCCTCTGATCCGGGCCACCACCCTCATCAAGCACCTCGCAAAGGGGCTAGGTAAGAAGTGGGGGGCCCCGGGAGCCCGGTGGGGTGACTCTGACTCGGCTGCCCCCGAGAACCACCTGGGGAGATTTCAGAACTCCCAGGACCAGCTTGAACCCAGACTCCGTGGACAGCAGGCTCTCCGGGGGTGACAGGCCATGAGCAGGCAGGGGGCGGGGGTCGGCATGCTGGAGTCACCTGGCGGTTTAAATGCTTCTGCACACCGGGGGCCACTCCCAGACATCCTGATACAGTTTGGGATGAGACCCTGATGGTCTCGTATTGAAAAGCACCAGTCCGGGACAGACATTTCAATCCTGGCTACACAGCAGAATCACCTGGGGGGCTTTCCAAACAACCTTTGTCAGGGCTCCACTCTCAAACCCAGGCTGCACCCACGCTCATCACAGCAGCCTTCCTGGAGGTGGGACCCAGTGTCCCAAATGCTGAGACCCAGAGGATCGAACGATCCCGGAACCCCAGGATCCCTGACACCCTTTTGGGATCCCTGTGAAGTTAAAACCCAGATGTAATCTGCCTCTGCCACATTCACTCCCCATTCTCCAGAGGCCGCCAAGCCCGCAGCACAGAGGGCAGTCCCCCGCAGAGCGCAACCGCACCCCTGCTTTTCCCACCTTCTCTCTCTCATCCTCTCTCAGAGTAGATTTTCTGGCTGTGAGAATACATTTGCTTGTCTTGATGAATAGTTTCAGTTAACGTGTAATGGGTTTGTTATGGTTATTTTTAAAAGAATTAGTGTGTATTTGAAATTTTGTCTGAATCACAACATGGTAAATATTTGGCAGATACAACCCGGCCAGAGCTGTAACCTGTTACCAAACCACGATCTGTATTTGCCCAGCCCAGTGAACGGGGATAATTAACGCCCATCTCACAGGGTATTGAGAGGATTAACGCAAAGCGGGTGGTTAAATCCGAGTTAAAACAGGCTCTGGCCCCACCTTCCCCTCCCATGAGGGAGGGCAGCTCTATAGTCACCTGGATTCTGGGCTCAGGAATCTGGGTTCGTCTGGCCAGGTCTTCTCTGGCGATAATATCAGGGTACGAGTCCCTCTCAAAGGCCTCGATGAGCACCTTGTACTGGCTTTTGCTGAACTTGGTCCTTCTGCGTCTGCGACCTCCTTGGGGCGCTGGGACAGATACACAGGGAAAGAGGAGGCGTTAGTCTGGCCCCACCAGTGTCCAGGTCAGTGAGCAGCCTGCAGCGTCCCAAGGACAAGGCATCTGCTTCCAGGCATAGGACTCAGGCCCCTCTGAAAAATTCTCCCAGTCTCTCCTGAGATGCTGCCCCTGGCCCGGTGCCCTCGGCAGAAGCCGCTTGTGAGCCCCTTCG